CGGCCTTTGCAGCTGCAGCGCGTGCCAGGCAGTCGGCGGTCCACAAGTCCTTGCGGCAGTTTCGGCAGTGGATCGGCATGGACGAGGCCACTCCGCTGGTCTTTCGCTCCCTGCGGGAGCGACACCTGGCAGCAGACGAGGTCCTGGTGGGCAGCAGCATCCTGGTGCACCCCAGCGCGATCCTCGACCACAAGGCGGCCTCTTGGGAGAAGCTGTGGTCGCCCCACCCCGTCAGGCGCGAGGAGGTTTGCGTTTTGTTCGAGGACCTCCGCGAGCAGGTGCAGTACGAGGAGCTGGACCGCATTGCGGTTGCCGATATTCGCTGTGCCTTCCAGCGCATGCGGCCCCAGACTGGCAAGGGCGTGGACCAGTTCACGGTGCTGGACTTGGCGAGGTTGCCCGACCTTGCGCTGCAGGAGTTGGCCGACCTCTTTTCTTCGGTTGAGCGGGCCGCCTGCTGGCCCAAGCAGCTCCTCTTGGTGCTGGGTCACGCTCTCGAGAAGAAGGGCGGCGGTGAGCGCATCATCGGAGTTTTGAGCATGGTCACGCGCTGCTGGAGCATGATCCGTGAGGAGAGCATGCGGGATTGGGCGAGGCGCACGGCCCCAGCCTGGGACGCTGCCGTCGCGGGCAACTCAGCGCTTCGCGAAGCCTTTGCTCGCGCGGTGAGCGAGGAGGCATTCGCCGCCATGGGTGTCTCGTACGGCCACGGCCTGATCGACGTCCAGAAGTTCTACGACAGCATGCCATGGACGGGGCTCGCTCAGGCGGCGCTCCGTTGCGGGTTTCCGCCCGCTGTCCTGGCATTGGAATTGCAGCAGTGTGTGGCGAGCAGGGTACTCCTGCAGGATGGCATGGCATCTCGGTTCGTTGTCCCGTCTCAGTCGGTGGTGCAGGGCGTCAGGTCGGGCACGAGGTTCGGGCGCTGCATGACGTACCACACGCTGCAGCAGCTGACCTTAGGCTCGCCCCAGCTCTTGCCCTCGCGGATCTGGGTCGACGACCTGTCGGTTTCCTCCGCTGGCACGCGCCAGTCCGTCGTCGACGCCGTCTCGAAGGGCATCATCGACTTCGGCTCGGGCATGCAGCAGGCTGGTTTGCAGATTTCCCCCAAGAGCGTCGTCGTCTGCTCGCAGCTGGAGGATGCGCGGCGCATCGCCCAGGTCGTCAAGCAGCATGGCCTCGCCATCCAGGCGGCGAGCCACGGCACATGCCTCGGCGTCGATCTTGCAGCAGGCCGTCGCCCAGTCCGTCGCACGATCGTCAAGCGCGTGGGCAAGTCTCGCATCGCCAATGGTCGTCTTCGAGGCATGGCCCGTGCCTCGCGGCAGTACCAGAAGTGCGGGTTCGTCGAGAGGGTCGGGCTGCAAGCGGCGGCGACCTACGGGCATGAGGTGTTCGGCGTCTCCGGCAGCAGGCTTGCAGAGCTCCGTCGAAGGCTTGCTTCAGTCCCAGGAGCTGCTAGGCGAGGACGTTGTCTCACCACGCAGCTGGCACTTCGCGCAGGCCCTCTCGACCCCGCCAGGCGCCTGCCTCGCGCCCTGGTCAAGTGCTGGTTCGAGGTCTGGAGGAGCAGCCAGGAGTTGAGAAGGCGAGTGGCGCGGGCCTGGATCCCGATCCACAGTCGACTTCGCGAGGCAGATCCTGAGCGCAGGTCGAGGTTGGTGCGAGGTCCTATCTCCGCCCTCCAGGCCCTCCTCCTGCAGCACGGCTGGGTGCCCGTCGGCCCTATGGGCTGGGAGCGCGGTCTGCAGGACGGCTCTCGTGAGCGGTGGGCCTTCCCTGACGTGGCCAGCATCGCAGACGGCTCCTGCAGGGCTGTCCTCGACGCGCTCGACGACTCCATCCAGGAGGACCTCTGGCAGCGCGCTGCCACGCACTGGTGCGGTGCGGGCCTGGAGGCTGGTGCAGATCTTCGCTCTCTTCAGGCGCTCCTCCAGCGGCTCAGACGTCTCCCTGGGGGACCTGCGCTCGAGGAGCTACTCGCCACCATTGCGGTGGGTGGAGCCTGGCCGAGGTCACGCAATAAGGAGATCTTCGGCGACATTGAGTGCGCCAACTGCCCACGATGTGGTGGCGAGGAGGAGACCCCTTTCCATCGGTTCTGGAGTTGCCCCTGCAACGCCGGCAGCAAGGCCTACGACGACAGCAGCGAGCTCCTGCCCCGCGCGGCCGCGGACCAGGAGGCGCACGCGGCTTTCTGGCTGCGCGGCATCATCCTTCGCTGCTGGACTGAGGTCGCCGCCCCCCGCGACCACGACCTCTGGGCGCTCTTGGGTGGCCAGCAGGCCGCAGCGCTGGCTCCAGGGGCGCTGGGGCAGGGCACCGAGGAAGCCCCACTCGTCCTCTTCGGCGATGCCAGCGGAGGGCCAGAGGGGCAAGACCCGCATCTACGTCGAGTGGGCCTTGCAGTTGCACGTGTCCATCTGGTCGACGGAGGTCTCGAGCAGGCAGCGTGGGGCGGCCTCAGCGGCAGTGCGCAGACCGTCCATCGTGGTGAGTTGCGGGCGCTTGTGCTCGCCGCCCAAGGCTCCCTCGGCCCCACGGTGTGCATCTCGGACAATCTGGCCGTCTGCGAGGTCTGGTGGAGGCGTTTTGATTTGCAGCCGCACGGCGACGACAGCGACTTGTGGGGTCTCCTCGCGCAGACCTTTCGCAGCAGGAGCAGGCCCAGATCGGATTTCGTCGTGGAGCACGTGCACTCGCATCTGGAGATGGCTGAGGCTTTCGGGCTGCAGGTTCCCCCGTGGCTGGTCGTCGGCAACGCGGTTGCGGACATCCTGGCGGGCGCGGCGGCGGACGCTGTCCGCGTTGCTGCCCACGATCGGGCTCGGGTCCACCAGACAGAGCACATGGCCACGCTGGTCAGGAGAAGGCTGCTGCGAGCCACCCTCGACAACATTGAGGCGGAGAACGGCTTGGTCCCTGCAGTGCGGCGTGCCAGGAGGCGGAGGCGGGCCCCACTTGCAGCCCGCCTTGTCGCTGCCTTCGGCACGTCTCATGTGTTGGACAGCCACGGCAGCTGCCTGAGGTGCAGGTGCTCAGCGTCGCGGTCATCCCGTTCGCAGTGGCTGGAGGCGCGGTGTCCTGGTGTGCAGCGGGACGGAGCCCACGCGCTCAAGCTGGCAGATGACGACGTGCACATCGGCGGAGGCCGACCCCACCCCTCGCATGTCATGCGGCTGCACCAGAACCTCGACGTCTGGTTCTGCCTGAAGTGCGGGTTCTTCACGGCGGCCGCTGGTCGCTTGCTGGGGCGAGGTCTCCGCGCGTGCTGTCTTACGGCTCCTTCGAGGACTGGGCGAGACTACCTCCAGCGGATCGCTCGAGGCCTTTGGCCGAAGGTCGCTGGGCGGCGTCGGTTCGCCCACGCTGTGGAGGGCATCCTGCTCGGCCCCAAGAAGCAAGCCGCCCGCCGCCGTGCCGCGCGAGCGGCCGCTGCTCGGGCTGCAGCCGCCTCGGGGCAGGCGGTCCAGCCCAGGCCGATGGAGCTGGTGGCCCTGGATGCTGAGCCTGTCCCCTCCGTCGTCGACGACTCCCTCGCGCTGGACGGCGGCACGGCAGACCCGCGGAGGCCAGTCCCGCTGGGAGCGGCCTCCTCGGGTCCAACGACTTCCACCGACAGTTGGCCGCAGCCTGTGATAAATTGCGGCAGACAAGAAGGTGTTGCGGCGGAGACCGCCAGGAGTGGGGAGTCTGCGTCGGGCTCCCGCTCCCCCTGTCCTGATGGTGTTCGTGCGGATGTCCCTCCTCGCGGAGGTGGTGTTCATCGAGCTGGACTCCCCTTGGCAGGGGCTCCTGTCAAGAAGCTGAAGGCGTTCGACGAGAAGGTCCGCTGGCTGCTCGAGGCCGCCCGCGGCAAGCGCCCCAGCCCCGACCTGGGCGTGATTGAGGCCCGAGTCGAGAGCACTCCTCGGGCCAAACGGCAGCGGGCCGAGGACGTGGCCAGCGGGCCCGAGGCGGAGCAGGCTGCTGTGCTGCCCTGAGGCCGCTGGCCTCCCGCCACCTCGGCCGCGGCCCCCGCGGCTTCGGAGCCGCAACCGAGTCGCGCGCCCCTCGACGCGCGCGTCCTCGGAGCGCCCTCAACCTCAACCTCCTCCTCCTCCTGCTCCTCCTCCTGCTCCTACTCCTCTGATGCTGCTCCTCCTCCCCTGCCCCTCCTCCTCCTCCTCCTCCTCCTCCTCCTCCTCCTCCTCCTCCTCCCCTTCCTGCTCTTCCTCCTCCTGCCTTCCTGCTCCTGGGCGCGGGGTCCTGGGGCCGCACTCTCGGGGCCGAGGGGGGTCCAGGGATCGCAGAGGATTCCAGGGGCCGAAGATGGGTCCACAGGCGTCAACGCGGGTCCCCAGAGCCACGGGTCCAAAGCCCATGGTCCAGAATCCATCAAGGGCGGACGAGAAGGAGGAGGACGAGGAGGAGGAGGAGGAGGAGGAGGAGGAAAGGCCACGGAGGAGACGAAGGCGAACGAGGACGAGAGCGAACACGAAAACAAAGGGCGCGGAGGAGGCCGACAACAATGACGAGCAGGGGGGGGAGTTTGGGCGGTTCTCTGTTGGGCCTCGGGTTTCGTTCCCCATTCCCTGGGGTGGATTTACCGCTCCGGTTCGGTCTGTATCGGTCTGATTCGGCCCTAGTCGGTCACTGCTTTCGACCCCCTGGGCGCCTGGCTATGCCAGTGGCACAGGGATGTTCCATAGGCGTATTTGATACGACGGTCTGTCGTGACACGCACGCGAGCGCCCCCTTTCTGTTACGTATCCAGCACCATCGCCCCCCACAGAGTCATATAAAACTACGAGTAAATATTTACGACCCCATCTCATTTCTACCTTTTCTTTTTCGGTTCCTCACTTCGTGCGAAGGGACTTCGGCAATTCCAGAGGAGGTCTGCCGACATTGGTAGCGGACGTGGACAAGGGGCCTCTTCGATCTCAGAGGCCTTTGGGGGTAAGCTTTCAGCTCTTCTGGACGGGGTGGGGTGGGCTGGCCGCCGCGTCGGCCAGGTTCCGCTGCCGGCAGACTGCGGTGGCTTCATGCAGCAGGAGGCATACGCAG